GAAGAAGAGCAAAACTCGTGTCGCTCTACAGAACATTATCAACAGGCCACCTGCTTATTCGGACTCTCGACCCATAACTTGGACATTGGTATATGGGGCTGATAATACACCTAACCCTTTGAGCTCGTGGTAGAACTTGATTCTCAGCCGTTGCAGCTGGGGCAAGGGAATGGACGGGTTGTTGGAGATCGGTCCTAAAAACCACACAGTGGATAGACTTCTGACTAACATTCCTCTGGTCTTCTAGATTGGAAGCTCGAACATCAGTGGCAGCTTGCCTGGTAAAGATGTTGGCTACTCTGTCGGGACCCGCGCCGGTTTCGCAAATCATTGAGTGCCTCTGCTCCGACCTGGTGGCCCTGACAAGCTCACCCATCCTCTTCAAGGACGGGAGTGAAATCCTCAGTTGGTGCTTGTCCAACTTATTTGCCCCTGCGGGCACGAAATAGACTATCCAAACCAACTGAGTTGAGTTCAAAATAGTAGTCATTTTCAAAAAGCGTGCTCGTAGTGAGTTTGACAGTCATAGAGGGATATGCTTGGCCTCCATGTAGCAAGACTTTGTGTCGCTTTACCCCGTGAAGTGGGGACTTGAGAACAGCAACCAGGATTTCGACCGGGATGGGGCTGTTTTAACAACATCTTCACAGCAAAATGCGTATACATGCAGTACAACCTTGGTGTTCCTTCATCTTAAGGTTGCTTTCGATTCTCGTCAGTTTAGTTCTCAACATACTTGCGCAACAGGGTATGCCCCAGATACTCGCGAATACCAGGACCGGACGGTCTGTATCCAGCCCTCTTCAAAGAAGGCGGAGAATTCCTGGTGACCTAATTAACAAAGTTCCTCGGTGCTATATGGAACGAAGAGAAGGTGCTTATAGAATGGAGGATGTCGCAGTTATCCCTATCTTCAAAAAAGGTACGTGGACGCTTTGTGAAAACCACGGTGGCATCAGCCTGGCAACTGTAACATCGAAGGTGCTGTCTGATCTTCGAAGGTTCACTGAATACAGGGGAAACAGATCCGTGAAAACCAAGCCGCGTTCCCTACTGTAGGAGGATGCATCGATCAAATCTTCACTCTCCGGTAGATTCTGGACGCTGCTTCCAGCAACCAATGATGGTTGTGTTTCTTGATCTGAAAGCTGCCTTTGACCCCATGGACTGTCAGGCACTATGGAGCAAGAGTGTCCCCCATAAATTCTTGACCCTTCCTAAGGCACTATACGCCAAAACCCTTGGCCGTGTGAAAGTCTGCGGGATGCCTCTGAGTTCACCACACCAAGTGGTGTCAGACAGGGCTGTCCTTTTTTGCCTCTATTCAACTTCGTCATTGATATGATCATGGAAGACTCGCTATCAGCCTCTTATGCCTGTGGGGTCGAAGTGTTCCCGGGGTGTCCGCTCACAGATATCGCGTACGCAGACGACACAACTCTTCTTGGGTCTGACTACGTGGTAATGTAAACAATATCAAATAATCTAAACAATTCCACCCCACGGTTTGGCATGCGCTTCACACCTGCAAAGTGTAAAATGCTACTGCAAGACTGGATGGGCCCGGACCTTGAACCCATGCTTGCGGATGTGCCGATTGAGGTAGTAGACAATTTTTTTTACCTGGGCAGCTGCATCAGTTCCGGTAGTCTCGCGAAAGGTGATATTTCCATCCGGGTTGGGAAAGCCAGAGCAGCTTTTATGAACCTGCGTCACCTGTGGCGTAGGCGTGACAGCTTAAACGTCTGGGATCGAATTTACAATAATGCAGTACGCTGCGCGCCGAGGACGTCAAAAGATTTTCAGTGTTTGACCATCGATGTCTTCTGAACGTTGCCCGAGTTTTGTGGTAACACCCGATCAGCCATTCTGAAGTACGTCGTACGGTATTCGGGAGAAATAACTCATCCTCGATAGATGAGCTGATCATGCTGCATAGATTGTTCTGTCTTGGCCACGTGCTGCGTACGCCAGTCGGTCGGCTTCCTCGAAGGGTTCTTTTCGCGCAACTCTGTGGAGGGTAGAGACGAGCCAGAGGCGGTCAAACAATGACTTGCCAGTGAAGTATGAAAGCCGCTACCAGCAAACTCAGCTGCGCTGGTCATTGCCGTCTTCCTGGATAGGGACCCTGAGACGGACCACATCAGTGTTTAGAGACATTGTCAGACATGACCCAGTTGCACCCTCAGTGGCGCTCTCGTATCCAAGCATAGCTCCCTTCCCAATCCTCTACTTGACTGTCCACCTACGGTTCTGTATTCACCCACCTCATTTATCAGCTCTCGCCTTCAATGCGCAGCTACCTCCCCTACCTCCCCAAGTCATCAGTGAACGAAACTGTAGCAGCTACAACCACTGTACAAGTACGCGGCTCTTACAGCTAATCATGATGATGATGAAAGTTAAGGTTGTGAAAATTGCGTTGGAAAGATTTAATATGATGAACAACGCCAGAAAGATGAAATCGTTGGTGATTTACATGGCAGGGAAACATTAGATGACCACAGTTTCAGTCGAGGAACCCATCACTCTAAGTCCAAAAGGCACCGCGACGTATTTGGGCGTCCGCTTTGCTTTCAAGGGATAGGAGTGTACAACCACCGACAGAAGTTGCTGAAACTGCTCGATTTTGCGTCGAAGCTGCATCAGGGAATGGAGATCACAACGATCTACGAACTACTGCTCGGGTCTAGGCTTAAACAACCTCAGACCTCGTTCTTCGTTTGGGGTGTATGGTAGGTGTTACAGCGGAATGTTTATTATTATTAGTGTTATTATTATTATTGTTATTATATTATTATTATTATTATTATTATTATTATTATTATTATTATTATTATTATGAAGTTCCTGATGTGGAGGCTGACATTCGCGCGTCCTCGGTCAAGTCCACCGTGGTAGTATCAAAAGATTCGGTAACTATTCGTGGCTGGCTGCGCCTACCAAAGGACATTTCAATCAGACACATCTACGCCGCTGTGCATTGTGGGTGATCTGTCCAATTTTCAATCAGTTGGAAAATGTTTGGAACCGATTGAGAAGTCATCGTTTCAGAAGAGCTTGATAAACAATCGGTAGTTTTTATTTGGGCACTTGGTTGCCACTGGTTGATTTTCCCTGGTCTTTGTGGGGTCGTGAGTGCTCCGACAGTTTGGTTTGAGGGGGTTGAGGTCAAGTGGACTTCAGTTGATGACTACTCTTCCTTCTGATGACCGCACATCAACAAGTGTCAGCTCGACTGATCCAGAACCGTTCTCCACACGCTCGCCAGTTCCACACCTTCTATTCTATTAACACTGGGGTGCTTAGCGATTTCTACTGCCTCGAACCCGGGACTGCGTCTACAAAACTAAGTGTAATGACTACACCAAGGTTTATATAGGACGGCCGGCCAGGGAACTACACATCAGAGTCGGAGAGTATAGGAGAAAAATAAAAAAGGCCGCCGAGAAACGCAGATGAATATCAAGCGTTACTGAAAGACTCGGCGATTGTGGAACACGCACTCGACATAATCGCTAATCACCCCAGTGTTAATAGAATAGGTGTGGAACTGGCAAGCGTGTGGAGAACGGTTCCGGATCAGTCGAGCTGACACTTGTTGGTGTGCGGTCATCAGAAGGAAGAGTAGTCATCACCTGAAGTCCACTTGGCCTCAACTCCCTCAAACCAAACTGTCGGAGCACTCACGACCCCACAAAGACCAGGGAAAATCAACCAGTGGCAACCGAAGTAAATCATCAACTGAAGCACCCTGAAGTGGAGGATTAATGAACCAAACCCGGTCAGAATTAATTTGAACCTCCCCAATCCACCAAGCAAGATTTTGACAACTTCACTAACCGATAAGAGCCATTAAGTGACACTCAACACGGATCTAGTGTGATAATCTGAAGAGGACTGACTTACTGATTGGTTCCCCGTCTGCCTTATAACCTGGCCAATTTGGTGACCCGCTCGCTTGGCCTGATGAAGATTTTGTGTCAAAAGCGAAACGTTGCCCAAATAAAAACTACCGATTGTTTATCAAGCTCTTCTGAAACGATCTGTCTAATTGTTTGTTCTTAGATATCGGCACCTCTGCATGTTTACAATAGGGCTGCAACAGGTGCCTCCGTTTTGTTTCTTACTCTTTGGCTCTAAATGTAAGTAAACTTTATGGTTGTATAACTGTCAAGCGATAATGTCAGTACGCTCCTATCTAGATTGGTGATGAGTTTACGACTGTTCGGTAGCAAGTGTCATTCACTTCTGGAAGATTACCCCGTTTGTTTTCCAAAGTATTATCATTAGCTCCCTTTTTTCTAATTATGTCCCACAATCTGAGTAGCGTTTGCTTGTAATAAGCGATTTTAGAACAGTTTTTTGCCATTCATTACAAAATGAGTAAACTCTTACTAACCGCTGCTGGCGAATTTGCAACCAGCGAACTTTATTAGCATGGTTTCCGTTAGTAAATGTCAGGAATAATCATTGAATTGGTAATGCTTATTTCAGTCCTAACGCATATCCACAAACCCAGACATGTTTCGTTAAATACGATTATTCCTCTCACCTAACTTGTCAAGGCCACGACGTTGTTCTGTCGGCCGTTCAACTACTGGCTGTCAAGGACTCCATATCACCCCCTCAGTTTTGCACCTAACTCCCACACGTAGTGCACGAGTGCCTGTCTGTTGTTTTCACAGGCCGAAATGCGCTCACTGTCTATCACCCACCCTAAAACATAGTTACTGAATTGGTCGATCTGACACGGCTGTAGTACTCCGGTAATCATCTCTTCCTTGATTGGTCACTTCGGTTTTGACATACGTTATTGATCAATTTTTCAAGGGTATTGCGTGCGGGTGGATCGAAGGACCCTTTTCGTGTGTTTTCTTTCGTTTCACGCATTCTAAGTAGCCATTTGTCTGACTTTGGACAAATTATTAACTCCACTTCATTTCAGGCGAAACAAACTGCTTTTGCCAGTGCACCAACAACCAAGTTTGGCAATGATCGATGTCGAGTGATCAGTTCATCAGATTCTGCTTTACGCGGGACATGGGTAACGTCAAATGAACGAGCTCAAGAGGGCGCGTGTACCCTGTTGACATTCCCAGCGAGTGGTCACCTCCATTCATCACGTCGAAGGCACCGCCCAGTTGCACCCCATGGCAGATATGTGGTTGGAAAGCATGATTTAGTGACAAAGTTCCAACCGATTTACGATACCCTGTTGCCTTTAGTGGCAACTGCTCGTGTCCAAACAAACACATCACATTTCGACTCTCAGGTACTTGCTTGTACTCCGATTCCAGTGACCTCTGTGCATACTGCTCCTCCATCTGGACACGTATCACCACCACAACCTTCTGAGTACGCAGTTATGTTAGAGCCTTTGTCTTTACCCGAACCATACATCAATGGTCATGTCCATCCCCAGTCTTTCTCCCCTCACTCCGTGAATCACGATTCCCCTACATTGACGCTTCATCCTCCTATGTATTCACTCTGCAATGGTCCCGCACATGCACCTAATTCCGGTTCCACTCAACAACCGGTTGCATGTCCACATCATCTACATACCGGGGGAGCTACAGAACTTCCTCCGAATAGCTTAATGGATGGATCCAACACCAACGATGGGCACTTGGTACCCACTGTCCCGTCATTAAACCCTGCTACAATCCCCAATCTCCAACCGGCCTCCAGATTCCGGAAAGCTCGGATTCACGAGACTGTGGAACAGTGGTCCCATGGACGTGCTTCCATCCATGATTGTCACCTTAAAGCGGTTCCTGACTGGGTCTGGGATTTACAGAAGAAGTCCTCAACTTTGGAGCAGGATGTTGCTTCTGCATTATTTCAGAAAGTCAATTGCTCGTCGTGTTTGGAAAGGAAAGTTCAAGGTAACTCTTCTTGCTTCACTGTTTACTACCAGTTCCTGGTATAATTTCCATGAGGCTTTGGCACGTGAACCATTTTGAGGCTTTCAGTCATATGAATCTATCTTTTTACCGATCCGCATGCGTTTCAGACCATCACCTTTCCACCTAACCCTGCTTGTTTTACGATCCAAACTGCGTTACATTATGTAGTGCTTGTCGAAATGCAAGTTGATGTGCTACGCCTACAATAGTTCCAGCTAGCTGTCGAGTGTAACGGATTCAATCAGTTGATGTACTCGTGTTATGTTAGCTGGTGCTGTTTAGGCCTATTACTTTCCGTACTTTTCGTTACAATTCACTTTAACTGCTACCGCAATCGATTGGTCAGCCTGTTTTGTGCATAAGATCAAAACGGCCGTTGTTTGCGTGCCAGACAACCGACGTTCAACATGTCACTAGTGTCCCATCATGCTTGGAAGGCTGTTTCAGAATTGTCTGGCGCCAAGCGTTCAGCGATATCTTGTATAAATTATCAAATTATCAAAAACTTGTTTCTTGTCTACTCTGTGACGTCGTTGGGACGACCAGAACCGTAGTTTATTGGAAACATCCCTGTTAACTAGTCTGGTTTTCGAGAATACGGTCTACATTACTGCTTTCTGATAAGATTTATCGGATGATTGCACTTGAATCAAGGCATAGTGTTTTTGGAATGTACGGCAGTATTAATGTTTTTCGTCACTTTAAAGCAGAATATCAGTGAAGCTTAGCTCTAGTCTTCGCACATGTTGAAACTTGAGGTCTGTTCGATCATCCACTTAATGGTTGCGTCCCTTCCTCTGGGGGTTCGCAACCAGTGGAGCCCTCAATGGTCATTGGTTCAGTTGCTGCGCCGAAACAACAGTGGTTCAGGTTTCACTTTTCTGTTACATAGTAGGGTCAGTTGGTACAGAAATTCCAGATGGTAGGCAAGAGTTTCAATAAAAGCTTGTCTTTTTATGTAGTCCACGATCAGCCCTCATGATTACTTAAACCTAATCATGTGTCTTGTGACCGAAAGTCTACTAGCCCAATCTCAAATTTGAGCGGTTACAATCGCCTACCCAACGCATGTTGGGAAGAGCGACCTGACGCTGTGATCACCAGCGACAGGCCACCAGAGCATTTTCAAGGAATCATAAGTTGAGCCTGATTATTTTGTTTCTATTGTCTGACCTGTTTTCGTGCGTTTTCGGATTGTTCGTACTATCACACTGTTTACTATGGACTTTTGGCCGTAGCTTTTGTGTACGCAAGATTTACACAGTTGCGGGCAGCCTTTGCAGCCCTAGGTTCCAACTGGTAAACTTGTCAGGACATGTTTGGTTACTCGTGGCTTTTCCGTTCCCGACATTTCGCTGCATTTCTATAGTCGGGTTATTTCTATAGTCATGCGGTTTGCCTTGTTCTTCGCGGATGGCTTATTGGAGACCAAATTTATCCCAGGCTCTAGTAGATTTCGAGGTCGCCATTAGGAAAAATCCACCCAGCAATGCGGCTTGTTTCCTTGTGATGGTGCTGTGGTTTCGTTGGCTGTTCAGTGTTTATGTTAAGCAAGTCTAAACCTAAGCCCTTTCTTATCGTGGTACCTCCTTTTTCGTTTTCTAGCCCCGAATCACCCAACCTCTCTACAAACCCAGATTTCAGTTGTTAGCAGGCAAACTGGTTTCAGCGACACCCCCCGGTCGAATACTTCCAACCTCTTTGCATCCAAGTCGGAAATTCACGGTGGAACTTCTGCCCTTGGTCGCGATGCATACAGGGGCAGTTTATTCTCTTTCTGGGATGGTGGTTGCCGCGTAAATGCACGTCTATTCAATGCTAGTCGCTCTGCTATATCCCATCATCTCCCCCCGGACGAAATGAGTATCAATAGTGTTTGTCCGATCTGTGCAGGTGTGGTTGCTGGTAACACCGTGGAGCCTTCAAGGGATAATCTTCCAGAAACAGCCTGTATCGATGACTCTGTCGTCAACGCTGACAGGTCTGACCAGTGTGGGCAAGCCATAACGGGTGATCCATCTCTGCTAGAGGATATCAAGTTTGCTTCTGGCCCAGCAACTGGCTTAGGAAGCAGTTCCACATTATCTACTCCAGCGTTGCTTCCATCTAAGTCGACTGATCCTGCCACTGCCTACTTGATACACCAACAAATTAGTCCGGCCACTGGAATCATTATGGTCAATACTGATTCGGCGCCAAAGTATATCGCCAGTCCCAGTGCTGTGCCAGCCCACCAGTCTCCCTTGGGCCGAATGCATGAATCACATCAACTGGAGTCGGGTTCTTTTCTGGGAAACGGTACTCAAAACCAATACAAATCACGACCTGGTGAATTCATACAGCCACCTATGTCCCACAAGCGGGATTTAAGCCAGGACGTGTCGGGTTTCGCACCACCAACAAGCCCTGCTCTATTACCTCCAGGGGATGCACAGTCTGTTTGGTCTGCTGTTTCTTGTGAGTCCTTTGTAGCACGAGGAACCGTTAACGGACTTGCACATGGTGCTGAGTCGAACTTGGACGTACCAGCAAATCGCCCTCACCTTGAAGCGCAAGCTCCGACAAAGTTATCGTTACCCGGTGACGATCATCATCCGGTTATGCGGCTCCGTGACGCAAGCGGCAGGTACCACAATGTGGCTCCCATGGATTCTGTTTACGTCACCAATGGTTTGGATGGTCACTCCACAGAACGACCCTGGACCAATCTACTGTCACCCATGTCCCCAAGCGACGTATACAAGACGATCACAAAAGACTCCCGCAGTGCCACCGATGCACCTAAAGGGTCCAAGACTACTGGGAGATTTCCCTCACCTGCAGTTTCCAAAAGATACAATACTCCTCTTGGTTCCATGGAGCCGTTGTAAGCTATCCGATTACATACGCTACTTCGTAACATCTGATTAAATTACCTTTGTCTCCTGATTGTCAGTTTGTATATGAGTATCAACAACCTGCTGAATTCGTCAGTGTTAAAAATTGATCCTTGGACGCGCATATCTTCCCTTGACACGTTCCGTACAGTTAATCCGTGAACCCAAGGCACGTTGCTTCCAGCTGCTGCCCTTTCGGAAAATGAGAGCGAGGTTGGTAGACCCAAGTACTGGATCACAACAGAATCACCTAGTTGGTGTTGACCCAGTCTAGTTGTATGGAGAAACGAGGAACTGCGTAGTAGCTTCTATGCACGAGCACTACTGACTGATTGATTCATATTTGCCAGTGTCATTCACCACTCAGTCGAGTTCCAAGCTTCCCCTCCAGGCAGGTGGCAGTGGTCAACTGGTGGGTACTGTTTTATTTCGTAGACCTCCCACTCAGTTCCGCTCATCTCAGTACTGAGCAAAGGGTCCTGTGAGATAGGCGGTCCTCTGACATACGAAGTGCGGACAGCTCATCTATCATAGTCAACATCCTTCCCAAAGCCATCCGGCATGTCTCAAGCTGTTGTTCAGTGTCCCTACCACAACCGGCCAGTGCGTCGGAGACACTGGTATTTAAACGCCTAGCGTTTCCAAAGCCTCCTCACATACAGGTTATGTTTTGAACCTTAAATCACCACTGCTCGCACTGCCACACTATGTACTCTGTCCTCGGCAGAGGTCACACGGGCATCACAGATGTTGAAAGCGGAAGCCGCGCCGGTCTTCTCAGCCCACCATATCGATGGGCTGTTCTGTGAGCATCTTTCCCAGCTTCAGAACTGTGGTCTATCAGAGCGTATCTCGACACTATAAGTAGATAGCGTGTACTACATCGATTTGTATTTATATTAATTGAACCAGACGACTTTAGAGCACAAAGAGGACTATTTACTAGAATCCAGTCCGGTAAAACATTGTCAACCTTGGGAGTGAGTACAGGTCCCACACCATAAGTAGCACGAGCCGTTGCATCCGAATCAGCCGATACCTGAAGAGTGGAATGTGAAATATCTGAGATGTGTGAGGGCCGTGAACACGGAACTGCAAGGACCGATAGTATTTCTTGGTTGTCCATTTCGGTGAGGGGGTTCGTTCCGGAACACCTCATCTTGAACCTTTGGTTGAAAAGTCTGACCCGCATAGCGGGGTGAGGGTTTACGGTTGTTTACAACACCCTGAGCCTTTGACTGGAAGGTTTGAGACTTTCGACTGCAGGACGATTGTGGAGTTTTATTGCAGGACCTTGTCTGAGTTGATCATCTGATTCTCTTGGTTGTAGGGGGACTGGTCTAGCCCTAAGGCACAGGAAGTTAGACATAGATGCCTTTTGATGCTGCTGCACTTGCCAGATACGTTTGAAACCGCTTCTGGCCCTTGTTAGGTTTGAATCATATTTTGACCGTACTGGATAATCCGCTGGCAGTAACGGTCAACCATTAAGCGACTTGGGTGGCGGACATTCTTCAACCGGTCGATCCGCGGATGGAAGATAGCATGGCTGCTTCCACAAGTCTAGACATGCCGGTTTCCTAAAGGAAATACATTTTACTGCTTTCACACGCATTGCAGAGTCAGTACGATTTTACCATCAGACCTCATAGTGATTTTTCGTAGTATGGGAACTTGCTGCTGTTCGTTCGTCTGTTCCCCTTAGGCCATTGTGGCGTGGTCGCACTATGTGGCCTGAGGTTCCGGTAATTTTAGCTAGCTATTACGTCATCGGAGAACACGTCAAAGGTGGTAGGTTTCCTTGACCATACAACCTAGTTCAGATACGTTAGTTGAACTTCTAGCTGACTGATAAAGTGTTCTCATTGTTCAGTTCTTGAAGGTAGTATGAGATTAAAGTGTCATTATCTACAAGTTGGAACCGTTCTTGGGCTGTCGAAGAGTATTTAGCAGCCTTGTGAGTAGTGTCCCGTCAACGAATAAGGAATTCGCACCTTATTTTCGCATGTTTAGTTCCGTCTTGATTTTATTTATTTGCCACGGTACGTCTGATTTCATGCCGTGCGTTCTCATTTTTCAACAATTTTCACCTACTCGAACTTCATGACAGTGTTCTTTTGTGTTTTGGCCCCACTAAGTTTTCCCAAAGAACTGACCATTCCTATTCATCTTATTCTCCTTGGTATTGTATTGAACTTCCGCGTGGGAAATTCTAGGTGTCGTACGACTGTTAACCCAACGTTATTTGGCAATCAGGTGCACTTCCGTTCTCGTTTCGGCAGCTATATAAGCACATCTCAGTCGACCGCACTGCACAGACGTTTGCTGTATACCTAAACGGGTACTGATGGTCGCATGCAATGAACGGTTTTCTGCAGTGGGTCTAGAGTTCCTGGGACTCCACGGTGTGAACAAAATTAGTCCCTCATTCTCGCGTAGATTTTGGCCAGATGGCCCTTATTATGGGACCAAAGCCAGCGGTGATCTTTCACTGGACATGGTTTGGGATTGGTGTACACCGCTTCTTCCTGTATGAGAAACACCCTCGGTGATCATAAAAAGTATTTCTGTCTACAAGACTGCCTATTGGAGGCGTTGTGTGAAACCGTATGTTGTAAAAAAATTGCTCAGCCGTGGGACTTTCGGTGCCTAACTGCCATGCCACCAGAAGGGAGCACAAGGGCCGGGATATTGCCAGGTTGCCATAAACTAGACAGGGGAAGTCGAGAGGCAGAGGTCGGATTCGAATCACGGATCTTCCGGTCAGTAAATCCGTGGTCTAACCCCTGAGCCATCTCGCTTCCCGCCATCCTGTAGAAAATCCTCATCTATCGGCACGAGAAAAATGAAAGTGTTGTTATGCTCATACGTGATTTTTCGGCAACCACCCTGCATTCAGTTGGGTTGTTCAGCTGACAGCGAAACCGAAGAGTTCAGGTGTGGAGTTTGTTTTGGGAAAACCGGAGTTTTCATTGCACTTAACGCGTGGCAGAATTTGATTTGCAGTTATCCAACAACAAAGGAACTTGCTATATTTTTCGTCAGCTCAAAACAATGGTATTTGATTCACGTATTTGCCTCGTGCTTCACTGTTTGAGTCGCCTTGTTTTTGAGACATGACTGACTGTGTTGTTGGTTCTCGAGAACTCGCAACACGTGCGAAATGTGATCTTGATTCTACAGAAGATTTTTTTTTCGGGTTATGTAGGGCTGCATATGAAGTTCTCGAATTTTCGCGCCTTTTTTGAAACGTGTATATTCAGCCACATTATGTATATATTCGAGATATGAATTACTTTATTAGCTTGTTGTTACAACCTAAATGTAAGAATTGGGCATGCCACCAAACTGCAATTTAGCGTATAAGGTAGCTCCTACAATGTCTGTGATTTACACAAATATCAGTCAAACCGTGTTACCGTCGATGTTGATTGGGTAATTCCATCTCTTGCTCTTCCACGAGGCAATAGAAATACGATCGGGAACCTTAACGAGAACATCTAAGACTTATACTCGGGTTTCTCTTTCAACAGGGATGAGCAAGTTTGCACTACCGTTGGGACCAAACGTATTTGCTTCTCGGTCGTTGTTTATAAAGGGTATTTCCATAAGGAGACAATTCACAGTAGTGCAGTTTTCTTGGATATTGAGTGGAATCACTGTATCTGTTTCGCACTTCCAACTTCCTTTTCCTGCTTTTGAATCTTTTTCTTCAGCTCTGTGCGATCACGTTCTTCAACAAAGAGCGTACCGGGCAAATTTTACCGCGAATCCAAGAGTAACAGTAGAGGACGACTAACATTATCGAAACGATTAGAGGCACGCATATCAGAAAGTGTGGTATGTTTCAATTCAATTCATTTCAGTTCTGTTCTGTTCAATGAACCTTGTGTGCTCTGTCAAAGTGTGGTTCGTGCCATTTCCACAACCTGGTGACCAAAGTAAAGCTGCGCATGTCTGCATTTAACAAATCTGCATGTTTGAGGTGGCTAACAGTATCATTTTCCCATTCGTACGTGTTGATTTCCATCCTCTTATTCTTAATACTTAATTCACTTTTTATCCGCTGGTTTCCTACATTTGTGTTTATAGCCAGTCCTGCTCATTATTTTAGTTTTTGTACGACTGCCGCGGTGATTGGTTTCAGCGTATCCGTGTGCTTGCTAGGGTTGCTGACGTGGACAAGATTTCGGCACTTTCTTGTGGCGTCTTTGTCTGCATTGTTCTTCCCATAATTTTCCATACGCAATTTAGCAGCCTTTTTTTTTCAATTTCTTACAGTACCAGGTTCAAGCGGTACCTCACAAACTCAACGCAGTTGAAACCTTGAGGTACAGTTTAATGCTGTGTTCAGTTGGGAAGGGTTTTGCCATTAAGCACCATCACAATTACCTGTTCTAATAGGGAACTCAATTGAACAAAGTTCACCGAAACCCGAGGACTGCACCCATCTGACGTGCCCTCGAAAATGGCGAAACCGGTCAGGGACCGGACGCTATCGTTTGACATACAAGTCGTATTTGGAATGCCTTAAATGAAAAAAACGAAACCAATGAAACCAAATGCGTTACTGTTTGAGGATATCGGCTATTGCGTGGTAGCAAAAACACCAGGAGGTATCTAGTAAACCATTAGAGGGAAAGTTGTGACGATCTCAACCAAGTTCTCATGTAAAATTCATTAGGGAAACAATAGATCACCACACCCAGTCACATCCCACATTCAGTAATAATTTTTTTCGTGACAGTTTTTTACACACCATACTTTCATGGGTTTTCCGGTGACACCTCGAACACCAACCGTTAACGCTTGACAATATCCTTTTCCGTCCACCATTGTGATTGTTTACGTGAGATTCATTTAGCCGCAAAACGCTGTGTCTGTATTGCAAAGATATGCTCAGTGAATTCATAGATGACCGTTTTCTACCTAGGTTGATACCAGTAATGGTGCCTAGATATTTTTTGAGCATGTTGCTTATACAAAACTGTCTAAACGGTCGCCTACCAACCACCTGGCAATATGAATAACATCTCAGTGGTCTTCCCTTCCATAATAGGATGTCATCCGATCAGCCATTGAAGAAGCGTTTCGCGATGAATTGGCAGCAGCACAATCGGAAAACTTCGCTCTCTTGTCTGAAGTGGAGAGGTTATCAAATGAAGTGTCCACTCTTCGGGGTTACCAGACAGCCTTCCATGCATTGCGTCCATTTGTAGCCCCAGAGATTTGGGATCATCTATGCAACCAACAATCTCAGTCAGTTCAACACCACCCACTCTCTGCTAGTTCATCTTCGGCTGTCCGGAACGGCTCTCCCGAACATCCAGGATAGGCACAGTGTCCTGTGGTGATGTCTTGTCTTATGGTGGACTGAGCAATTCAGTGCAATAAGTTCACGCTTTTCCCAATTCAGCCGATCCTGATGGAAATGTCAACCACCTGTGTCGTCACATGTGAACCCCAAAGTGGGACTGTTCAGTGCCTGTAGTTCTTTGGAAATTCCTTGGTATACCCATTATGGACAGGCTGAGTTTCGTACTTTGAATATCCCCCCACTCTGTCCGTGTTCTTTCACCAGTGATTGCATTCAGATTAAGCATTGTGGGCTAGTCTGCCATTCATTTGCTACCGGTGTCTTTCATGCCCTCATACCCAACTTGATGAACACCGATAGATGCGCTTCCGTCGCCACTTCATTTCGATTATCAGGATCCAAGTAAGCAGTTTGTTTATAGTGACACTCGCGCATAACCTTGCCACCTACCATGCACCACGAACCACCAATGATCGAGCCAACCTACTTTCCGTTACTACCGCTTTCAGTGTTTTTTTTTGGGAGTTCGAACTATGAAAAGCAGAATCCTCAGTTGTGATCGATACCATCCGGCAGTGCCGAACCCAAATCTGATGCTTCTATTGTCATGCATTTCCGCCTGTCTCTTTCTGCTAAGTTTTTGTGAGTGGGTGTGCGTGCGTATGCGTGCATTCATTTTGTCGCGAATGTCATAGACAGCCAAAAATCTCATCCCTATTTCTCTCGCACTTCTTGGACCATCCCTGTCTCGTCTTTGCCGTACCCGGTTACAACTAGGTTCAATTCCTCTGTCCCATCTTGTTTACAGATACACACTGCTATGTTTGTGCCAACCGAGTCATACACGAATAAGAGATTTCCCAATCCTCGAATAGTCTTCAGCGTTTGTTTCTCTTTCTTGTTCCTTCTTATTCGTCATATGTACTCATCAGTACTCTGTCAATTTGAGTTTCAGACGTTCCTGTCCAGCGTATCAGCAATTGCTTTCGATCGTAACAGCGACACATGCTGTGACGCAACCATTCCCCCGTCCATCTTTTGCCCCACCACGCATTCCGATTGTGACCGGTTTGTGTCACACAAAGCGATTGTTTTGTAAAACACGGTATTTTTATGAATACGTCAACTAGGTTGGTTTAGTCCCCTCTCGTAGATGGTTGCTCACCATGTAGGGACTGTCTGAACTATCGACTACCAAGGTTTTTGCAATCTTCGTCTATTGTTGGCGTTACTCTCCAACCCCTCTATGCAACATACCCGACTTCTCATTTAGTGTTGAATGATACTTGATCACGGACGTGTTAATTCATTGACCATCAGTTAGCTAAAGATGTGAGCAAAGTTAACATCTGTATTGCTTTGTTATCGCGTCAAGATATCGTAAAGAATGATATGAGCTGTGTGTACTGACTGGCCAAGTTAATTTCAACCACTGTCATTTTGCGGTTTCTTTCGCAACGTGTCTAGTTAATCTGTGCCATCTGGTCCCACGGAGTCCAAGCCAATGTCGAATATACCATCGAGTTGTGTAAACGTTTAAGTTACGGCACGAAGCACTGTCTCGCGCTCGTTCTTCACCGCCCGAATTGATTCACCACCGAAAGCCTATGGCCTGTGTTATCATCATCATTGAGAGCAACGTAACACTAACACACTGCTCAGCCGCCATGCAAACTTGAGGGGGAAAGTCCTATTAAGGAGTGGATGGAAAAGAGAATAGTGGGGACTTGTTGTGGAGAAGCCCTATTTCCTTGTAAAACGATTTTTTTTCTAGTAGAACGATCAAGAATGGGGTGGACGTCATTAAATGAGACATCTGAGAATCACGGCATCAGCAGGATTACCCAGCGTCCTTTGCGAACCTCGCCCGGTATGTGTGTAGCATACAACAACAGGCGAACTTAAGCTGGACAGTCTGATTTGAAAGTGACAGCTCGCGCATGACTGGTATCGGTTGCGTACAATGTCCTGCGGGGTTTCCGGTCACCTGCAAGCCTGTTCTTTGGCTGTGAATAATCCGGCGTTCAACAGGCTTCTGCGTTGCTAGTTTGAACAGTTTCATCCTAAACTTTCTTCTTTATGATTCCACTCCCCTCCGCTCCGATTGTTCATATAAGAATTATTGGATCAAGGTCGCCCTGGACTGCTGAAACACTGAGCTAGATAGTTGATTGTGCGAGCCCAAACGAAATAGTTGAGAGCGGATACAGTCAAACAGGTCGTCGCTCTGGCGGACCTTCAGGTCTTACGTTCATTGTACCAGCGACCGTTGCCTTATTTTTGATTATTTTGCACGAATTGCTTTGACACCTGACATCAGTCCTGTGAATCTTGTTTTCGAAATGATTCAGCTGAAACAGAGTTGCAAATGTGCAGTCATGTGCGGATCGAAACATTGTTGACATGTGAGATGCCAACCAAACTCATTCGGGTCTCATATTCATGTGACAGACGCTGTCGGTGATGCAGTTCTGTTCTTTATACAAACAAGCTACTGGATTCTGTTGTGTTTTGCAGTTCGTTTGGGCTTCTGTCGGCCACCCTGTTTCTACTTGTAAGCTAGTTGGTCCATTTGTTTTGCCATTAGAAGCATCTAGGTGTGACAGGTATCAGGTGCCTCCACATCTGACGATACCCATTCGTTCTACATGGATTCCTTTAGAGCTACATTCAATTCACAAATGACTTATTAAACGAGGTGAAAACTGTCGCGCTTAACTGGGTTGCAAATGCGCGGTGGACGTCATTAAATGAGACATCTGAGAATCACGGCATCAGCAGGATTACCCAGCGTCCTTTGCGAACCTCGCCCGGTATGTGTGTAGCATACAACAACAGGCGAACTTAAGCTGGACAGTCTGATTTGAAAGTGACAGCTCGCGCATGACTGGTATCGGTTGCGTACAATGTCCTGCGGGGTTTCCGGTCACCTGCAAGCCTGTTCTTTGGCTGTGAATAATCCGGCGTTCAACAGGCTTCTGCGTTGCTAGTTTGAACAGTTTCATCCTAAACTTTCTTCTTTATGATTCCACTCCCCTCCGCTCCGATTGTTCATATAAGAATTATTGGATCAAGGTCGCCCTGGACTGCTGAAACACTGAGCTAGATAGTTGATTGTGCGAGCCCAAACGAAATAGTTGAGAGCGGATACAGTCAAACAGGTCGTCGCTCTGGCGGACCTTCAGGTCTTACGTTCATTGTACCAGCGACCGTTGCCTTATTTTTGATTATTTTGCACGAATTGCTTTGACACCTGACATCAGTCCTGTGAATCTTGTTTTCGAAATGATTCAGCTGAAACAGAGTTGCAAATGTGCAGTCATGTGCGGATCGAAACATTGTTGACATGTGAGATGCCAACCAAACTCATTCGGGTCTCATATTCATGTGACAGACGCTGTCGGTGATGCAGTTCTGTTCTTTATACAAACAAGCTACTGGATTCTGTTGTGTTTTGCAGTTCGTTTGGGCTTCTGTCGGCCACCCTGTTTCTACTTGTAAGCTAGTTGGTCCATTTGTTTTGCCATTAGAAGCATCTAGGTGTGACAGGTATCAGGTGCCTCCACATCTGACGATACCCATTCGTTCTACATGGATTCCTTTAGAGCTACATTCAATTCACAAATGACTTATTAAACGAGGTGAAAACTGTCGCGCTTAACTGGGTTGCAAATGCGCGGAATTCGCCAGCGGACTTGCATCTTATCCTATTCGACTGCACCAACAGCAAACAGTTTGATCTGCAACTGCTAATCAGCTGCGCATGCCGCACAAACAACCACATGGCTGTCACTTATAGCGAATGCTCGTCAATCCACATGGCCATTGAGCTAATCGATATCTATCTCGGCTCCTCACTTCAACTCTAATTCAACAATGTGTAGGCTTAATCCGACCTAGCATTGTGGTATCCAAGCTTGTTCAGGGTTATTCGGTCTTTCATTCACTTGAGAGCTCACTTGCCTTATAGTTATCATAGGTACTCATTGACTAGAGATATTTCACCCGAGGAGTTCGAAGTAGCGTCATTTTCAACCCGCCGCTGTTATTTTTTATTGTACGAAACTGCGGCTCAGCGTCACTCCGGATAAAGGTAAATAATTCACTTATCAAGCGGAATATCGTGGTTCTTAAATTCATTCCCGCATGGCCGAGATACTGCCAATTTACCCAGGCCTAGATTGGAGAAGTCGAGGTTGGCGGACGTCCCGGTCAGTAAGTTGGCCGAAAGAATGCTTTGCCAACTGTTTCGCATTGTTGGGATCCGTCAACGTTGTACACGAGCGGGGTTCGACGCTGAAAACTAGTGACCGGCGGTCGACGACCATGGATCGGTTGTGCTAGTCATTGCAGGTGAGAACCGCATGATGCAACTCCAGAGTTGACCATTCCATAGAAGATTGTTAAAGTCGAGTGCCATTGGTGGGTATGGAATACAGCTTCAAACCGTTTTTTGAGGTAGGGTTTCTTTTATGAATGCAGCATAGCCTCTGACATTTCAAACGTACTAGATGCTGAGCCGCAGACACTTCAAACAGGTTGAGTCCAGTTGGGATTCTCAGTTGTATTGTCCAAAAGAATCCAGGACCACGAATTTGAGGTTATCCTTCCCCCCGTTGCATTATGTTCAAATTTGACACATTGAATTTATTTAACGCTATGCCGTAGGTCGACCTCATGTGATGGAGAAGTCCGAGGAGAACCAGTTAACCGAAAGACTAAACGGCAGATGACGAACACAACAGGCCAAACTTAATATCAGATTCCATAGTGCTCGCGGCATTTCATACCTACTCCCTCCACCGGTAGCACTATGCTTTCAACTGTCCCAAAGAAAGATATCATTATCATCATGGACAGCATGACATCAGTGTTCAACGCTGATGCTTCGTTGCCGTACAATCATGGTTTATTTGAAAGCCTTATGGTGAAGAAAGGAATAAAGATGGACAGGGAAGGGACTTAGTGCTATCTTACTACAATCATTACGAGGTACATTCACCTGCGGAAACTCATTCAGGCAATCTGGATTGTCTGAAAGGAAGAGTACTCTGAAACGTAAAACGGTGCGTTTTTTCAGGAGCTGACAGGTGTATACAGGCACTTCATTCGTGTGAATCTGTGAATGTGGTTGATCCCTACAAATAGAGACATTCCATCGAAGAAGAGTACTTCGGCCAGGTTGCACTGGCGGACCTGATTCTGGTAGGCACTATACAAGTAATTTGTTCAGGAAGGAAGTTCTACACGTCAGAAAAGCCTTTATTCAAGCAGCAAGTCAACACAGGATCACAATTCAGTTTGCGCTGTCATGGAAGGATCGCTCTAGTTTTACCTCAGTATCTAGAAATTTATCTAAAAATGGTTTAACGATTCAATTTTCTTTCGAAATGGGTGTGATACTGCCGATGGCTCTCATGGATGGTAAGGCTGCAAAGCGCTTTCTAAGGAATGGACTAACATTTATTCTTGTCCTTATTCTTGTTGAGGGACACGCCGGCCTTATGTCCTTAAGACAGACTTTTACAGAGTCAATTCTGATCCAAACACTGGTGCGGGTGTTCTGCGACCACCGTAGGCAAACTAATTAGTTTCAGATTTTGTCAACTAATTAGCTTATCTGTAATTATTGCAAGTTTCTCGGTAGAAATATTCCGGTGGTATATGATGGTGAACGTCGTATCAGGTTAGAATGTCTGACGAACGATTGGGTTTCAGTGTACACCAAAACCTTGATTAACCTTTAATTAAACGCCACTCGCCTCTCCAACTGGAACGTTTTCGTTACATAGGTTGGTGGAAGAAACAGGCGGTGTGTGGCTATATTTTATATCTATTTGACTCTTCGGGAACCATCATCCTATCGAAGTTCAAACATGGAAGGGACATTGGCGCCGGCAGTCTGTTGCATGAGGTAAACCATATTTCACCACTGACTGTTGTCTGTGAGCGAAATGTGACCACTGGTCCTGCGAAGTTATCTGGGGAAGAAAACGTCGAATCTCCGTTGCACTGGTGGTACATAACTCATGCAAGAGGCCGTAAATGATTTCGCACGCAGACCTTTTTTCTGGGTCTGACGACTTAATACCTATTCTCTACGATCCGTGGCTATTTTTGGTTATTATATA